TGAAACACAAACAAGAACTACTGGTACCAGAATTTTAGCAACAATTGTAAACAGAATAAAGGCAGTATTATCACCAAGGTGGCCAGCATTGCTGGATTAAAGAGCAAGGCTGGTTCCCAAGTGAGTAATACTACGTTTCCAGCCTACAGGCTTCTATATCTGCACCCTGGTGCCTTGGACCAGTCACATCAGGAGGTCCCTTCCAGCCCATGTTCCTGGGGGTTTGTCATGGAAACTGGAATGTGGGCAATTACAGCTACACAGTGTGGACTGGGGCTGGGTCTAGGGTGAGCAACAGCCACAGAAATGAAGCTGGAGCCAAGAGCGAGATGGGGAGCTGTGCTGCTACATGGTGAAAGGCCAAATGCAGGCTTTCAGGTCCCGTATAGACAAATTATATAAAGTATTAATAATCAGTCATTCTGTAATTAGCATTAAATATGATCATTTCCAGGACTTGTCCTGTGGAAACCTGGCAATGCATAAAGGAAATGTGCAAAGAAACGAGCTAAAATTTTCATATACAGTAAGCCATATGCTTTCCATAGGCTTTTGGAAAGGAGAGAGAGCTGGACTGAAAAGGTCAGTCATGCTCTGCAACAGGCGTGATGGAGGAGCTTACACTGGCATAACCATCAGTTTAGCTATCAACAGCATAACTGCCATGAAAAGTTAATTCCTGCATAGACTTGACCGTGACTCACATGTTTGTAGGGGAAAAAAATCTAGAAGCAAGAGTGGTGAGACACCAAAGACTGTGAAAGGAGGGAGAGAAGACTGAGTGAAGTCGGGAGGGGAAGAGAAGCTGGGGGAGTGAAGGGGAAACCTTCCTAGCTCCAAGGGCAATCAGACATTTTAGTAGGTTTAGAGAAACAGCAGGGAGAGGTAAAGCAGTAAGCCAAGGCCCTGTGGGAATGTGGAGACAGACTGATGTGCAAGAGACCTACAGTGGAAGGGGAGGACCTGCAAGAGAAGGGATTAGTGGGTAGAGGAAGCGGCTGAGAAGGGATAGATAGGGAGTAGGTAAGAACAATAGTATCAACTTTTGAAAATTAAAAATTATTAGTCTCTGCTTTTTTCTTCTAGTCAGACTTTGTTCAAAATATATCACTGTCCTTAAAATACTTGGCTTGAGTCATGCTCCAGCTGCCCGTCACCTTCTCAGGCCAGGCTGCACCTTCCCATTTCCAATGGCCCAGGAAGTATTTCCAAATACAACCTTAGACCCTAATCAGCCCCCTCCATAAGCACCAAGGTACTCTCTGAGCTTTGCACAAAACCCAAGGTTTTTTCTCTCCAGCCTTGAACACAGACTCTCCTTGCCCTTCAGGTGGGGTGATCTATTTGGTGATGAGTCCACCCAGGAGGGTGCAGGGCAGGAGCAGGCACCACAGGCAGGGCCCTGAGAGGTCTTGCTCCATCGTGGAGGACAAGGAGCGCCGAAGTGCAGCAGAGAGGAGGAAACAGGGTTCAGTGATGACTTGTGGAAATGTGTTTCTCTGGGGAAAAGTGAATGGAAGATCTTCCACTGAAAGATTTAACTTATCTGGGTTTTTTTCCCCATATAAAGCCCTTTGAAGATTACCACCCTGCACTCCCCGTTTGGATGTGCAGCTGCTCACAGCAGGTAGGTTTCAAGGGGCACTTGGTTTCTTGAGTGCTGCAGGAAAACTAGATTTTGGAGAGGCTGGGTGTCATGGTCTGCAGTGGGTGTCACTGTGTGAGTACAGCAACTTCAAGACTGGTGAAGCAAACCCTAGAAACCCTGTCCCATGGCTGTAAATAGGTGACTGTGATCGATGGAGATGTTTCAGGGACAGCACAGATTTTGGAAGACTATTGCAAAAGGATTATGTTGCTTCCCCAAAACATGTCTGACAGGGGCAGCTCCTCAGAGGGGCTGCACAGGCTGGCAGTCCATGGGAAAGGTGAGCCAAGACAGTGGCGGTGCTGTCCCTGCCTTCTCCTCGATGACTCACTGCCTCAGTCCCTTCTGTGTAGTTGCAGCCATGGGCGGGGTGAACAGAGTGGATGGGGATGGGTGCCATGCTACCCCATGCCAGCCCTGCATAGAGAGTGGCTGGGGCAGCCCTCTTCATCCCTAAAGCTTTACACTTGCCCTTTAAGCAGGGTTTGCAGCAGTGGGGGGATCTCGACCCATGTAAAGACAGAGTGGATGTTTTGTGCCTTGACAGCAGCGAGTCCAAGTGCAAACTGTGTAATCTGTATTGTACAGTTACACCTTGGAAACCTTTAATAAGGCTCGCTCTGAGCCTCATAGGTGGAACAGACCGTGGAACCGGGAGACAGAGGCGCCTTTTTTACTCCTTGGGAGCACCCGCCAGGGTAAGTGACATCTGGCTGGGGCTCCGCCAGATCATCGGGCCAAAGGCTCAAGCCCCACAGCCCTCTGAAAGCCACATGTACTTTTCAAGGTTGTGTGTACAAAGCGGTGTGTGTTGGCCTCGGTAAACAACTTAGCAGAGAAGGCAAAGCAGTGCTGTGCAACACTTGACAAGCCGCCTGCGTTCTGGGGGATAATAGCTTAGTGCTGCCCATAGCTGGCTGAAATGCTCCTTTAAGGCAAACAATGGAGAAACATTGTCTGGCACTGTATTGCCAGGATTTGGCCCAGCTGATGAACTGTTGAAGGGTTTGATAGGATAATTCTTCCCAGTCATTTCTGCCCCATGTTGCACAGCTTATAATGAAATAAAGAGATTTGAGAGGGTTAAACCAGCTAAAAGAAGGCAGCAATCTCATGGAGGTGCATGTCCTGTTTGATGATTACCATCTTTTGTCGCCTTTCAGGCATGGACCTGAGCTGTGCCTTAGACTGCATCAGGCTTTTACCATAATTTCTGAGAACTCAGTTTTTATATATTCACTTCTACATGAAAAGTTCTTGAAAAGGAATCGGCAATTTTATAGCAAAGCAGTTTTTCCAACAAGTATTAATGTAATTAAGGAGGGAGGTGGGATGTGTGATGGAGCTTAAGAAACACAATTTAAATACACAGAGACACTAGATATGACAAGGAGGATGGAGAGGCAGGAACAGGATCATCACCTAGATTTTGGAGCCTGACTTTTTGCTGGCTGGAGAAACTGGTTGCTTTCTTAAATAGAAATCAAAAGGTGGATGCTCACCACTGTGAGATTCTGGTCATTAGATGTCTCAGTAATGTCCAATCAAATCCTGCAGGGCACCAGTGACCTCATCCAACCACTCTTGCAGCCAGTCATCATGGGAGGAGGTCTCAGTCTCCTCCTCCTCTACAAGACCCATCGATGGCCCCATGTGCATCTCCCAGTGTGAGTGCTCTTGCTGCTTCTTTCCAAATGGCTGCGTTTTTGTCATCGTGGCCATCTTCCTCAGGTACCTACTGCTTGTCAAGGTCAATCAAGTTGCTCAGGAGTGAACCATGGTAAAATGGGGTAAAGGCAATGCTTAGCGGAGCAAGGTATGAAATGATCAGTCACAGAAGTCCTGACTGACGTACAGAAGCAGTGGGGTTGATGTGGAAGGGCTTCTGCAGTGAGAGAGGCTGCACCCACCTCAGAATAGTGGATAGCCTAGGGCATTAGGCTCCAGGATAGCTTACAGGATAGCCTGTAGGATAGACAGCAAAATAGCCTAGAGGATAATCTACAGGGTAGCCTCCAGGCCATCTTATGGGATAGACTGAGGTATAGTTTACAGGATAGCCCATGGGATAGCCCTACAATGGCAAGGACTTTCTCCTGGAAAGTGCCTGCTCCAAGCTGCCAGAGGAAGGCTGTGAAGCAAAGGCTTACACATCCCCAAAGTGCCCCCTTGCCGCTGGCTCTGGGGGCATTAGGAGTACCACTGGCTCTGGTCCAAAAGACCAGCCTGGCTCTGGCTCCAGCTCCGGGACTGGCTTGGGGACCCACTCAACCCTGCCAGCTCTTAGAAATCCCCTTCACACAGTGAACGAGTCCTGCCTGCATGTTGCAGAGGGCAGCGAGGCTGCAGGTCATGCTGTAGCCCCCAGGGTCACATTGGCCTCCTCTGCAGGTCAGTTGTATCTCGCTCAAATTGCAGCGAGGGCCTGGGGGTACAAAGGGAAGACAGCACCGACCCCACTGCCACAAGCCCAGCTCTCCCAGACTGCAGCACAAAAGAGGCCGGGAAATGTTTTTGCAGCTCCTCCATCAGAAGCCTCAGACAACACAGATGTACCACTCACAGGCCGCGCTGTTTCCAGCCGCTGTGCATGCTTGCAGCCCCTCACACAGCTTCTCTCCTCTGCGAGGGTGGAGGAGCCGCTGTCTCCAAAGCTCTTTCCCCTCCATGACCGAGCGTCACCCGCCGCTGCTTCAGCTCCCCACAGGCACTGCAGCACAGCACAGACACACAGCAGATGGCATTTGGCACCCGCTCAGAGAATCGGCTGTCGAATGCTTTGCTCCCTCCCGGTTTTCGGCTGTGCCTTCCCATGGGAGACGGTTTTGCCAGGATACTTCACATTCCCTTAAATAACAAATTCCTTTACTCAGGGGGTGGCAAGGATGGCGTTGGGCGAGAGTATGGGCTTATGCTTTCTTCATGCTTCTGGAGCTTACAGGGAAAAAAAAAAAAAAAGCAGCTGCTGCTTTTTTCTTTCTGTCCTTGTAATGATAACAGAAGGGATGTGGAAATTAAGCTGCTGAGTTTGAGCCGGGACAATCTGAGCCCTGACTGTGGCAAGTGTTTGAAAGGACACCTCCATCACAGGGCACAGCTGGGAGCCTGTCACACCGCTTGCAGGGTGCAGACAGCTCACCAGAAGGGTCGGTACTAATTATTAATTATGGTCCTATTTCAGCATAAAAGCAAATGACATCTCTCACCACCCGGACGAAAGAGGTTTTTGCCCTCTCCCCAGCCCCCTCAAGTGCTAAGTGCCACTTGATCTTGTGTGTTACGGGAGCTGGTCAGCCCCCGGGGTCAGAGCTACAGTGTGGATGCCCAGTAGCTCTCAGCCCGAAAGCCAAGAGGGGTTGTTGCTATGGGAATCGAGAGGGCACTTGCAGACAGCAGCTAGAGCCTGTGTCTTTCCCTGTCCGAGGCAGCTGGATTTGGAGGGAAGCAAAACTAAAAGGAGGTGGCAGAGAGAGAGACAGAGGCACAGCAAAATGCATGCACGTTAGAGGAGGGACCTTCCCAGAATGAGAGTACAGTGGGATACAGAAGAGCAGGGACACCAAACTGTCAGGCAGCGGTGGCTCGGCTTGGCAGGATAAACCTTATTTTCTGCTCTGCTTGACACTGGAACAAAAGTCCAGTGAAAGCCTAACTGTAGCAAGATGGGATCTGCCTCCTCAACTTACCGGTCCAAGTGTATTTATTTGGATATTGATGGAAGAATTCAAAAGGTACTTTTGCCGTTTTTCTCAAAGTAGTGTCTCCGGACGCAGCAGCGGCTGCGGGCTGCGTTTGCTGCACGACCTGTTTCTGGAAGGCGAGTTAGACGCGTGTTTGCATTCGTGGGGCTTCAGATCTCTTTTTAAGGGGAAGTGGGGGGGATCTTGAGCAGTTTCTGCTTTGTACACGGATGTTTATTTAAAGGGGAAGGGGATGCTGGCAGCAGGGGAGGGCTGGGCGCTGCCAGCTCTCGCTGCCGGTGTGGGGATCTTCGGTTTAGCAGCCGTGCAGGCTTCCTCTCCCGGAGTAGCGTCGCGATGTGTTTACAAAGTTTTGCTTGTGGAGAGGTTTTCACCCAAGAAGTGGGAGCCGGGAAGCACGGTGGGCTGAGTTATTTGGAGATTGCCTGCCTGGGGGGTTTAACGATGGGCATTTTCCTCCCACCAAGCTGAACGGTGGCAGGTGCCCGGCTGTTGTGCGATGGGGTGTGCCGCTGCATTGCCGGGGGGCTGAGGGGTCCCCGCCACTTTTGACAAGTTTTCCGTAAATGGCGATAAACGTTAATTAAAACTTTCACTTTCATTAGCCTGCCTTGTTTGCTTAACTACGGTTCACAGCACAGAGAAAACTGCTGGATAAATGCATTCTGACTAAAAGGGAGAGCTCGCACACTGTCAAGCTGACAGCCCACTGCTTTTAAACAGAAACAATGCCACTGCATTTTTGCAAATATTTTCTTTTCTTCTTTTTGTCAACAATTCTTTGGCCACAAACCAAGTGCTTTTTGTTTTGTTTTGTTTTTTTTGTTTGTAAGAGAGTTGCTGCGAGGCTCAAGAACAAGTAAAAAACTGACTTGCAAAATTCAAATATCTCTCTCGTCTTCTTGCTCTAAATTTTCATTTCACACAGCCTCGCCTTTTGTTTCTCCTTTAAAAAGAAACAGCAAAGCTAGATACCCTTTCCCTTCCCTCCCCTTTACTGTATGAGTGACTGCAGAAATGAGGTAAAGGGAGAGCTGATACTCACAGTCCCGTCCCACCGTGCACGCCTCCATTGCCTATGGTCCCCTCTGCCACTGCCCTGGAGACCCACCACAACTGACAAAGTCGTGTCCTCAGGAAAAAGACCTCAGAGAATCCAAATCTGCACCAGGTTGCCCAGAGCAGGCTGCTCCTCTTCATCCATCTCAGGGTTTAGATGTGACGGTGGTCCCTCTGCCACGCAGGCTCCTCTGTACCGGCAGGCAGGAGTGTGCCGGCTCTGCTGAGCTAAAGACGACGCTTCTCTCTTGCCGGGGTTCAATTATTTGGTTGCCTGATGGCTTCCAGAAGCAAGGCTTGTATGGAGCTCCCTGGCACCTTTACAGTTCAGTATGAAAATGTTATGGTATTTTGAAAGGGTGGCGAGTGTTTCCAGAGATTTTGGTAAAGCACGTTGTCTGTCATCTATGCTGGTTTAAAAAAAAAAAAAAAAAAAAAAAAAAAAAAAAAAAACCCACAAAGCAACCCTTAATCTTCCAAGGAATGCAGTATTGGAGGCTTCTAAAGGGAACTCATTAAATCAATGCTAAGCTACTTGTCAACCCAGTAATGAGCTTCGTTATAACAGCACTTATAGAGTTTGAAGGGGCTCAGCTCCAACTTGCAACAGGCTTGCTGGGCATCGCAGAGTCATGCAGTAGAACTGGGCATCCTACAATAGCGCTAGTTGTGATGGCAATTATTCACAGGTAATTTTGTGTTTTCATGGCCTCATCCTGAATTTCTACCCATGCTACTGACTTTGGAAGTTGTATTGCTTCGGCATCGGGTTAAATGAAGGGACAAACTAGGCTCAGAGAGCCGTGTGCCACCTCTCCTGGGAACCTGTGTGTTGCAGATGAGCACTAGAAAGTGCTCCGTGACAGGAGTGTTGAATTAAGTTAAGTAGGTTTGTGTGTCGGCAGGTCCACAGGGGCACAGCAGGAGGGAAAAGAGATGTGGCAATCCCTGAAGGAGAGTTGGCTGGCTTTGAAACCCTTCTCAGTAGTCACTGAAATAAAGGAGGCACCATCAGCAGGGGTTGAATGCAGGACTACACCCAAGGCCACCATGTCCCAGAGGAAGGGCTGAGGTCCATACCTGGAAGGCCAGTGCTGTGAACACCCAGGAGTCCAGTAGCCTCCTGTGGGAGGGCGGTGGGGTGCTGGGAGCAGACGGGAGCCTAGGCCAGTGCTGCACTACATCTCTCCTACATCACACTGGGGAAGCCTAGACCTCATCTCCATAACCTCCTCGGCTCCTGCCCTTTCCCTTCGTCCCCACCCTACCTGCACCCTCAAAGGCTCCCAGTCATTTGTCACAGTTTTATAAACTGATCTTTCAGAAGCATGGGTAGGCAAAAATCTGTCTTTGCCAAATCTGACTGCAGGGACAGGCTCTCTTCCAGTAGGCAGAGTTGACTGAGCATCTCCCCATGCTGGGGCAACAAGGGCTCTGCTTGGGAGGGACACAAGGTAAGCCGGCAGACACCAACCACAGTAACCCCACAGGCATCTGAGCTCAAGATCCCCCAAAGGGTGGCTTCTGTGTCCACCATGGAAAGGCTTCAGGCTGCTGGTAGCTGTGTCCGGACCAAGGTGCAGGGGATGGAGGTCTCCCATGGGGCAGCCACCTACCGAGCTGGTGGAGGTATGGTCAAATGGGAAGCAGGAGATGGAGGGGACAGCTGTGCTGGGGCTGCGGGAGAGGGAAGATCAAAGGCTTCATGGCCTTACATCCATGTGCTGAACAGGGGCTCTGGGCAAACCAGCTTCAAAGAGGTCACTTGTCCTCAGAACTGATTGAAAAATGAAATTACAGCGTAACAAGCTTCATATCCAGTGCCTATGTAAAGGGGATGCACACCTGGGGGAAACAAGCATGGCTCAGTTTATTTATTTTTAAAGGATGCTCTCACTCAGAGACACGCGGTAGTTCGTTAGCTGCTTGCTTGGACACATGCCTCCCTCTGCACTTTGCACGCGTGGCCAGCACACCCGTGAAACACATCCATGTCCCACGCCTGCCACAGCATGGTCTGCTGCCAGGCAAAGGAAAAGACGATGGGACGGGGAGGTATCCGTGGCCATGTTTCATATAGGATAAGGTGAACCTGCAGTACCACCGTGGACAGGGATTTCTTGTGTTTCCTGCAGTGCCACTAGATGGGATCAGGCACCCAAACCCCCAGCCTGCCACCAGAAATGTGAGGTTTGCTGCACCAAACTAAGTTGGATCAGGAGTCTTATTTTCTTCATAATGTTATTAACCCTTTGGCTGCATTTTTAAGAAAAATTCCTATTAAGTCTGTTTTGAATTAAAAATCTAACAGCAAGAAAATGTTCCCCAGCTTATGCCCAATTTTTTTTTTTTCCATGAAGAAATTGCTAGGGAACCTTTTCTTTTGACCTTTGAGATTTAAATGTTAGCAGAGCCGAACCAGACAGTGGCCTTATTCCCAGGTGGGTGGCTTCATGGCTTTCATTTTCAAATGTCACAGGGTAGTGGCTTTGCTTACAGAGCTGTAGGGAGTTCCTCTGAGAAAAAAAAAATGCTTAATTCAAGAGGATTTCTGTTTCCAGTGTCTTAATCAACATCATATTTGTTACAAGGATGGAAAGTCAGAGTGGTACAGAGCCTGAACTAACTGGAAAAAGGAAAAGGACCACCACCTTTGTAAGGATTCTATGAAATCACTCAGGGTGGTATTTTCTTCCCCTTCAGAAAGCAAGTAAAGAATTTTGGAGTAATTTTGCTGGTTTACTGAGTCATTCTGGATGCCAAACAGAGAAATGACCTCTTTTTTTCTCAAAGAAATGTACTGAGTTCAACATTTCTGGGTGTCTACTGTACTGACCTGTGGAGCTGGACACTGAGCCATCCACAGCCAATTTTTCCTCTTGGCCCAAGGTCCACAATGAATGGAACAACACTAAGACTGTGTTTTGGTGCTGTGGTTGTTGCACTGAAACGTCAGCACATGGGACTCGTTTCTGTCATGTGAGCTTCTCTTTTTAATTAGAGCAACAGCAACTGTGGTATAAATGCCTAGACTCTAGCAAACCCAACAGATTTTTCCAAAGCTCACCATGCTATTTTTAACACACCAAACTGGGTTCAGATTAAAAACAAAACACAGCAGAAAAGTAATGGCATGATGATCAGTTCAAGGCGATTAAATATTTTTGCATCCCAGTGGCTTTCTCAGCGCAGCAGGGCAGGGGTGTTCTGTAGTGCCCATGGACCCCATCCTTTGTCTGTTTGGACTGAGGATTTAGGGACACCCTTTCAGCTCCCAACCATCGGTGTGTGTGTGTGTAGAGGGGGCATTCATGGGCATCTGGGACGTGGACACCTCCGGAGGACACTACCTAGTTGGTGTTCTCAGGTTCTTCCCATGCATGAACAAGGCGAGGACAAAACCCACTTTAGCATGGTGAGATATAAGTACATTTTTGTGGGATCAAGGCCATTTTCTTAGTGCTGGCAGATCTCTGTGGGTGAGGGAGAGTGAAGATAGCACAGCCTGAGTCTGGCTAGTGGTCTTAGCTAACCTTGACTCTCTGATTTTAGCTGGGCCCAGTGAATTCAAGGCAGCTGCTAGATGTTCTTGTTGTAAAGCAGCAAGAAATGAAGAGCAGATTCCTAAAACTCTACCATATTACAGCACATAAACATTTTAAAGAGTAAAAATGGCTTAAAACCATGCTTTTAAAAAAAATACTTGAGGCCTCTTTCTCCTAAGCCTCCTTCTCTTTCCTTCCCCCCTCTTTTCCTTCTCCCTTTCCTACTCCCTCAGAGCATTTAGGGGTCCAAACCATAACCACAGCACAGCTCTGTAATTCCAGCGCAGCTCCATAATTCTTCCTTACCCATCACCCTGAAAGGCTTGTTTACTGCTCTTTATCTCTCTAAAGTCACATGCGGTCTATTATAGTTATTATGGTTTATACTCACGTTAGCCGAGACAAAATGTAAGTTTAACACTTTCC